GGGAGGGAGAAAGAGAGAGAGAGAGTGAAAGAATTATCCAGTAAGCTGATTATAATATTTGTATGCAAATATTAAAACTGTACTTGCATTGCGTACATATTTGAGTGTATGAATGTACAAATTCCTTTTTTTGCAAAAGTGAGGAAAAAAAACAAGTGGATGAATGTGGTGAACGTACAGATGAAGATTTATGAAAGATTATGAAGAAAATTATACACATTGCCATCAATATGATTTCTTAAAACTTGCTCTGTTTTATTGCAATGTATGTTGTGTATTTTCCTTCCTGTTTTTAGCAATTACTTTCCTTATATCTGATCAGGTCTCTGATCTGATTCTTATTTTTTTGCGTCCGTAAGCTGTATCTTCTTGTGCGCGCATTTGTATTTATCTCTGTGTGTGTATGTGCATTTGTATGTGTATGTGAAGGTGTGTATGTATGTGTGTGTATGTGTGTGTATGTGTGTGTGTGTATATTATTGTATTGTAAATGAGTACAGTATGGATTACTGCAGCTTTTTTTGATGACAATGAATGTGGTTGAGATTACCATTGGTGTGGAAATTTATCACTTATGTATTTCTAATGAAAGTCAACATTCAAAGCTTAGGTGTTGGTACATTTCGCATGCCGTATTCATTTTAATTCATTCTTTCCCCACAACACTAAAACATGAATGGGTTTAACACCCTCATCAGCACTATTAGGTTGTAAAAGATGTAGACCCTCCCAATATAACGTATGTCTCTGATAGGACCAAACCAAACAGGGTTGTGGGCCTTGAAAACTCCTCAAAAAAAGTTCAAGAACGCCCGATCAGGGATTTGAACCAGTGCTGTCTGCTCCTTAGTCAAGTGGGATACAGACAGAGCTAATGGAGCACCCTACGTTACACTGAAGTGCACAGAAAACTGTGGTGTAGTGGTTAGACATTTTGCTTTCGCATGCAAAGGACAAAAGTTCCATTCTCATGTGGGGATGATTTTTAAGAGTTAACTTCATCTGCTGACTGGTGGGACATTGTATTCCTCTCTGCCCGGGTCAACCCTAAAGGCAGGGTCGAAGGAACCCGCTTCCTAAATGCATGATGATGGGGTCACGCAATATCTCCAATTACAGTGCTACAATTATTCAAATTCCTCCATTGCCTTTACTTGTAAACCAAAGGGTAATTGCAGGCGATATTATTATGATAATGCTAACCAGAAACAACAAAAAAAAAACAACCTGATCATCAAGATGGGTGTGTTTGAGATCTGATATTGTTCAAAATTCATAGCTTATATTCGGTCCAGTGTAGAAATATTGTTATTATTGTTGTATTCTGTTCCCTTGTCATTAAGATAACTAACCATAGACTTATAATATCTAGACCGTGCGCTCTGACATAATTCCAGTTCATGGCCAAGGGCACTGTTGAACTCAATTCAGAGCCAAATAAACGGCAAGGGCGGAAAGGTGCCATGTGACAATAATAATAGTAATAATAATAATAATAATAGTTATAACAAAGATTGCATTTGTAAAGCACAAATTTCCGCTTATAAGCAAGCTCTATGAGTTTTACAATCTAATACTAGTATTATTTTCCCAGCATACCTGCTAGCATTCTAACTTCAACTTCTTGGGAGGCATACAGTACAAGCTGCCTCTTTCAAGTACTTAAACACTAACATACTGGCAAGATCTTTCTCTGTACGCTCGACTATAATGAGACTAGTGTTTCGCCCCTTATTTTGGTGCCCTTAATACTCCCACTTTGCAACAAAGTTTTTATAAAGAGCAAAGGATGGCAGACATGACAGTTCACAATCTAGTATATTATCATTTAAATCTATGGAAGTCACTGACTACTTTGAGAAACTTGTGAGATTTACTTCTGCTACAATATTTCATTTCATTTTCATCAGCAATAAACTTGAGGATGTTTTGAACATTTTACATCAAATTTATGGGAAATGACTTTTAACTTATTTCGAACTCCTTCAGATTTTAGTCCACAGCCTCATTGATTCTGTGGTAAAAATAATTAGGGAATTTTAAAAGAAAGATATTTTGTAAAACCTGCGCTTTTATGGCTCTCTATTACTGCAGGGAGACGGATTTCAAAGAAATCTTTTGGTTCCAGTTGAAAATAATTTTCTACGTCAAAGGAAACGTATCTCTAATGTGTGTTTTTTCCCCCTGCCTTTTTACTTGCTCTTATCTCGTCATTGTAAGTTATGGGCTTTTTGTTTTCTTCTCTATTTTTTAGTGTCAGTGATTACAGTTAAGTTGTTGCTTCTATAATCAGAGCGAGTGCATAATATTTTGTTTTGAAAAAAAGTCTTTTTATACTTGGCCATGTGTAGACTGTTTGTAAATGCATAATGATATCATCGTTTGTTTTCTGCTTGTTCCGGTACGTTTTTCTTTGCAGGTGTGAAATACCCAGTGATGAGCTTATTGGTGTGTTTTTAATTAGAGTATGTCATGTAATGGTTAGGTTCTCAAAGTATATAATGTAATGGTTAGGTTCTCATGTAATGGTTAGACTGTCAGAATATGTAATGTAATGGTTAGATTTTCAGAGTATGTTTTAGTAATGGTTAGGCGCTACATGATGTGGAGTTGATTCCCATGTTGGAATGATATTATTATTCAGTCGAGTCTGCTTAACCTTAACAAGGTTAGTCTGAAAACAGCGGCAAAACCAATAGAAAATAATATCCCTGAATTTTTTATTTTAAAAAAGAATGGTTTTGCTTCTCATTTAGCAGCCCTTCTAAACCAAGAACGCAACTAAATTGAAGAAAATTTAGAAGCCCTCAGATTTCCGTTAAAGCTGACCCCAGTGTATCAGTATAATTATAATGTCTTTGGGTTCAGATAAAATATCGTTTTATATTTTTTAGAGAAAGATTTGACTATAACACGCAAGGTCAAAACAGCCGTCCACATCTAAAAATAATATGATCTTAACTGTGTCTACAGTCCCATTAAACAGTAACAATCACGTGTAAAGGTGAATTTTTGCTTTTATTTGTTTAATTTGTTTGTTGTATTTTTTGTTCTTTTTTTTTACTTGTTTTGTTTTTGGAAGCTTGTAGTATAAATAACAAGAAAGTTACTGGATGAGAATGTTGGCTTGTATTGTGTTCCCCTTTGTATTTTTACGTCTAATATGTAATTCAGAATGTTCTTTGCTTGTGCATTTGTGTACATGTTTGTGTGTGTGTATCTGTGTGTGTTTGTGACTTTGAGTGTGAGAATATTAACTGTGTGTTTTCTATCTCATGTACATGCCTCGTGTTCAGAAAAGAATTTAAATGTTATTCTGTGTTTGTGTGTGTGTGTGTGTGTGTGTGTGTGTGTGTTGTGTGTGTGCATGTGTGTATGTGTGTGTGTTTGTTTGTTGGTTTGTGAGGCCTTTTTCAAGTAGGGAAAGAGATGTGATGTATACATGAGTGGATGCACATTTCGCTACCTATACATTTTGAGATCCTTACCGAAAATTCTTTCTTCTCTCTGCTCATTTTTAGAACTCAAAATAAGTTTTTAACTTTCAACTATATAAATATGTGTGTACATGTGTGAGTGTGTATGTTTGTGTATGTGTGTGTGTGTTTGTGTGTGTGTATGTGTGTATATATTATATACACAAACATACATACATACATGTTTTATAATTATGTCGATCAATGTTTTGAAATGCTACGTGTCATATGCCTTTTGTCCTTACTTTCTTTTTGGTCATGTTGTGGTCATGCGGTGTATTCCAATGTGTTGACCTTTTTTTACTAGTTTCGATATTCTGAGAGAGAAAAAACGAATCTTTTGACTTCTTGTAAAGTTTGTGTGTGTTTATCAACTGATTTGGAAAGACAATGGTGGAGGCCCACATTGCCATCCCGTCCTACCCACCACTTTGACCTTTTTTTTCCTGATTGTTTTGTTTGTTTCTTTTAATTTTTAATTTTGAAGAAATTATCATAATGAGAATGTTCACCCATATAGCCTGTGCTTGGTTTTTCCATCCGGCTTCCCATTATTTATTCTAGAATCTGTGGTGTAGTGGTAAGGTGGTTTAATATTGCCCACAGAAAATGTGAGTTTGATTCTCATGTGGGTATGGTCTTATCCAGTATCTCAATCTTTCTGTTGGGACACTGCATCTCTCTTAGCCCGAGTTTGCCCTGACAGGCAAAGTTGTGGCCTACTTCCAAAATGAGAAGAGAGTAAGACATTGAGTGATAATAATAATGATGATGATAATAATGATAATAATAATAATAGCCTAATATGAATAATAATATGAATAATAAT